TCCGACAGCCATGCTGTGAACTGAGTGGCCGGCCGGATGCAGAGAGGCAAGCAATAAATTTAAAATATTCAAATGTAAAACTGTATCTGTAGTTGAATAAAAAGAATTAAAAATGGATAATTCTTTATTGAAATCCTGAGCATAAAGTGCTGTATATAGAAGAGCACTATATAGTCTTGTCATTATTTTAATTGATGTTAAAACTTCCAATTTTTAAAAAATAAAAACAACACACATGTTGTACTTACCTGCTCTGTGCAATGGTTTCTGGGCTCTTGGCTCCTCTTCTTCTCCATGTGCCACCATAGGAAGCAGCTTCCTATCTTGGTACACATGCAGGCTCACTCCTGAGCCCTGCTGTTTCTTTCTATAGACACAGCGTGGCCCTGCCCCCCTCTCCCTGTCCCCTGCTCCCTCTTCTAGGATTTGATTGACAAGAGCGGGAGCCAATGGCTCTTGCTGCTATCAATCTGCCCAGTGAGGAGGGACAGAGCTAGGAGAGCCACTGCTGTCGAGCACATTGCTGGATCGAGATTGGGCTCAGGTAAGTATAGGGTGGGGGGCTGGGGGGGATCCCCTGCTACCGTAATGCATAAAATGCATTAAAGTAAAAAACTTTAATGTTTTAGAACCACTTTAAACCTGTAAAGGCATCATTATTAGACATATTAGGTAAACAATGGGAGGTATCTGCATTTTCCATTTATTATTCCTAGATGTTCTTGACCTTCTGAAGCTGAAATCTGGGAGCTCAAATTACAACTCTCAGCATTGACAACCAAAGTATTAATGTATAGAGACATCAGAATTTTGATTTTGTAGATTAACATTTTAATTTTACCTAATAAGTGCTGCATTTTCAAGGGCTTGTTTAATGTGCAGGACACTCCTTAGTTAACATATTTGTGTTGTGATAAAGTGTGCTTGAAAGTGATGTAAGTGGGCTAAAACCTGTGCTTTTATTGTGTATTGCCATTATGCAGTGTACAGTTGCAAGAAAAAGTATGTGAACCCCTTTGGATTGCGTGGAGTTTTGCATGAATTGGGCATAAAATGTGCTCTGAACGTCATCTAAGTCACAACAATAGAAGAACACAGTCTGCTGAACATAATACTACACAAACATTAGATGTTGCCATGGTTTAATTGCACATAACATGTAAACATTCACAGTGCAGGGAGGAAAAAGTATGTGAACCTTTGGACTTAATAACTGGTTGACCCTCCTTCGGCAGCAATAACCTCAACCAAACGTTTCCTGTAGTTGCAGATCAGACCTGCACAACGATCTGGAGTCATTTTGGACCACTCCTCTTCACAAAACTGTTTCAGTGTAGCAATATTCTTGGGATGTTTGGTGTGAATCGCTCTCTTTAGGTCATGCCACAGCATTTCAATCGGGTTGAGGTCAGGACTCTGACTGGGCCACTCCAGAAGACGTATTCTGTGCTGTTGCAGCCATTGTTTTGTTGAATTACTTGTATGCTTTGGGTCATTGTCCTGTTGCATCACCCATCCTCTGCAGAGCTTCAGTTGGCGGACAGATGGTCGTACGTTTTCCTGCAAAATGTCTTGATACACTCTGGAATTCATTTTCCCATCAATGCCAACAATCCATCCAGGCCCTGAGCCAGCAAAGCAGCCCCAAACCATGATGCTCCCTCCGCCATGTTTTACAGTGGGGATGAGGTTTTGATGTTGGTGTGCTGTGCCTTTTTTTCTCCACACATAGTGTTGTGTGTTCTTCCCAAACAACTCAATCTTGGTTTCATCTATCCACAGTATATTTTGCCAGTAGTGCTGTGAAACATCCAGGTGCTCTTTTGCAAACTTCAAACGTGCTGCAATATTCTTTTTGGACAGCAATGGCTTCCTCCGTGGTGTCCTCCCATGTACTCCATTCTTGTTTAATGTTTTCCTTATTGTAGATGTGTCAACAAAAATGTTAGCATGTGCCAGAGATTTCTGTAGGTCTTTAGCTGACACTCTGGGATTCTTCTTTACCTCATGCAGCATTCTGCGCTGTGCTCTTGCAGTCATTTTTACAGGACGACCATGCCTAGGGAGAGTAGCAACAGTGCTAAACTTTCTCCATTTGTAGACAGTCTGTCTTACCATGGACACATGAACATCAAGGCTTTTGGAGATACTTTTGTAACCCTTTCCAGCTTCATGCAAGTCAACAATTCTTGATCGTAGGTCTTCTGATAGCTCTTTTCTGCGAGGCATGGTCCACATCAGACAGTGCTTCTTGAAACCAGTAAACCCAAAACAGGTGTGTGTTTTTTAAGGGCAGGACAGCTGTCAGCAACACATCCAATATCATCACACTGATTGGAGTCAAGGTTGGCTCACTCCTGGCTCCAATTAGCTCTGGGAGAAGTCATTAAGCTAGGGCTTCACATACTTTTTCCTCCCTGCACTGTGAATGTTTACATGTTATGTGCAATTAAACCATGGCAACATCTAATGTTTGTGTAGTATTATGTTCAGCAGACTGTGTTCTTCTATTGTTGTGACTTAGATGACATTCAGAGCACATTTTATGCCCAATTCATGCAAAACTCCACGTAATCCCAAGGGGTTCACATACTTTTTCTTGCAACTGTATACCTGTACATGTGTTACCAGTCATTCTCAAAGGCACCCCAGTGGATATATACAGTGGGGATCGAAAGTTTGGGCACCCCAGCTAAAAATTTGTATTAATGTGCATAAAGATTAGACATTCTTATAATATGTCAGCAAAAGTTAGATTTTATTTCCATCATTTACACTTTCAAAATAACAGAAAACAAAAAAATGGCGTCTGCAAAAGTTTGGGCACCCTGCAGAGTTAATATCTTGTACTGCCCCGTTTGGCAAGTATCACAGCTTTTAAATGCTTTTTGTAGCCAGCCAAGAGTCTTTCAATTCTTGTTTGAGGTATCTTTGCCCATTCTTCCTTACAAAAGTCTTCCAGTTCTTTGAGATTTCTGAGCTGTCTGTCACGCACTGCTCTTTTAAGATCTATCCATAGATTTTCAATTATGTTGAGGTCAGGAGATTGTGAAGGCCATGGCAAAACCTTCAGTTTACGCCTCTTGATGTAATCCCCCGTGGATTTCGAGGTGTGTTTAAGATCATTATCCATTTGTAGAAGCCATCCTCTCTTTAACTTCAGCTTTTTCACAGACAAAAATGAGCAGTTAACCAATGCACTGCGGGCACAGCCCCACTGCAGAAAACAAAAAACATTTTATGAAAAAACAAAAAGATTCCTTGCACTAGCCAATAAAACATAAATAAGGACTGCTGAATCCACTACACAATCTAGATACTAGATGTAAAAGAGCTACTTCAAGAAAAGTGGGTGTGCTGTCCTTTTAAAATTCAAAAGTGCCAATGTGCATATATTAAAGTTGTAACTTATAACAGTATCAAACGATAAAAAGGTACTAGTGGTGTAAACTCGGTGCATACAATCAATAAAAATATATCCGTAAAGATGAACAAATGTACATATGAACAATTTTAAATATGAATAAACAAACATACACACACGCACGTATTATTCAATAATAAAAGCAAAAATTATAAATGTGAATAAAGCAAAGAAAACAAATTTGTGCATATTGTCCGTACAGATGGAAATTCCCACAGGATAAGGAGACACATTTCAATGTGTGACACAAAGAGCATTCAGTGCAGCAGGAATGAAAGGTGCCAAGAAGTCACACCACCAACATGTAAGGTAAACTTCTTACCAGAAACACTGATCCCGCAAAGAGATCATGAAGTGTGCCTCTATCCTCTGGAGGTGCTGTTTACAGTGAAACGCGTTAGATGGGGCCAAACATGTGACGTCATATCGCACACTGGTGGGAATCCAGCAGTGCTCATTTTTTGTTACATGCCAGTGATTGTCTTCTAATTGTAAGTACATTACTTTATTAAATGCTTATGGTTTTAAATATACTGCACAATGGAGGTCCCTTCCCTTTTCCTCTTCTGCACTGAACAGATTTATACAGGATCATACCTATGTGGAGTTATGTGTTTGAACATTTGGTGCTGTGGGACAGAAAGGCACTTCATGATCTCTTTGCGAGATCTGTGCCTATGGCGTAACACGTAAGGGGCAAGGCCGGTGACGTTAAACGTTTTTCGAGTATCTATGCAAAGTGTGGGCGGAAAGGAACACTATTATCTGTGAGACATACTATTTTTTATACAGCAGTTCTAAAGGGGAATAGCGAGTTGTCAGTATTTCATCCAAAAGCTGCAGCCTCTGTAAGAATTCTCTGGCAGTGATCTATTATATGTGAGATACCTGTGGTGCACTAGTTTTCACTCATTCACATTGTGAGTATGTTTCATATGTGGTTTTAAGTAATAAATATATATTACTTTACTGAAATCACTATGATGGTTATTATATAGTTTTCCTGAGCTACTTGGTGGAAAGTGCTGGAATGGAGTATCCTTGGTTTTTTCCAAAAAAGACCATCTGTTGAAGTGAATGGTTTCTGGTTGTTTCCCTTAAAGGAACAAGCGCACATGACCTATTGATTGTAGGTCAAAGTATAAGGTGAACAGTTAATGGTGGTGGCAATATGGCAGAGTGAAACACAGAAGGAATTTTTTCAGTTCAGGTTTTTTTTAATCTTCTCGGTAATAAGAACACAAGCACACATTGAGTTTTTATTCATTTATTTATTGATGCATTTCTTCACATATATAGGACTGTATTTGTATTTGCATAGGATTTATATTGAGTGTGCTTGTGCAGCGTGGAATTAGTATTAAGATAATCAGATTTGGTGTGTGGTACACTTGGTAGATTCCTGCAGCAGCACATTATTTAAGTTTGATTGTTATATTCAGAATATTTTTGGTTGGTTTGCACAGGGACGGACTGACAACTCATGGGGCCCCCGGGCAACAGGGGATCATGGGGCCCCTGTGTCCTTGCCCAAACTCAAAAAAAGCCTATGAAAAAGGTACCAGGGGCATCTCATGGGGCCCCCTACTAACCCCGGGCCCTCGGGCAGTGCTCAAGTTTCCAAATGGTCAGTCCGCCCCTGGTTTTGCATAATCATCTTGGAGTGTGTCACGTTCATTATCATTATAAAAGGGATGCGCATGGGCAATTTGATTTATTTTGTGATTGGTAATTTTCCCGCCAAGTTATTGCCACCAAGGCTTTTTTTTTCAGGGAATAGGTGCAGGAACTCACCCCCTTACCCTAGGTTGCACTTGTCTCCACACTTCCTTGCTCCACTTCTTGTCTTCACCCCTACCCACCACCTAGCACTACCCCCTTTTAGAGAACAGGGGAACACATATCATTTTATGGGGATAAACAGCTTTGTATAGAATTTGTTAATAATAGTTCAGAATAGCTCCAATACACGCAAACACACTTCATAGTGTTGTACAGTACTGCCCCTATTTGTTTGACATGGGCAGGGACAGCCTTATTTAAAAAAAAATTAATAAAAGGTATAAAAAATGTAAATCTGTACCTGATAGTTAACTATAATAAAACATAAAAAAACAATGGTAGCAGGTGGAAAAATGTTAACAATGGACTGCCCAGGCCATGAAATAGAGGAAGAGGGCTGTTTTCACCAGCAGGTATAGAAGCAGCTGAAGTGCCAAGCTGGCATACTTGGGATGTGAGAGGGTTTGGAATGGGTTTTTTCTTTACTTACAAAAACCGGGTATGGGAAGGATGTTACTGGAGATGATGGGGTCAGTACTGAGTAGCGATGCTTTGAGATTCAAGGCTTAGCTCTGGGGTAGGATTGCTTAGATCATTTTTGAGAACTAACAATTCTTATTAATTTTCTAACATACAGCACATTGAAGTAGCATAAATGCGAAATACAGAGAAATTTGAGTAAAGGTACAATAAATGAACCTCTAACCAAGGCATTTAGTAGGTAACACCTAAAGCTACTGTAACAGGCTAATGTCACAAGGCTTACATCCAAAAATAAAAGATGAGAGTATGTTTCACAGGAAAATCTTATTCATATTGAGGTATGTAGCTGCCAACCTATAGTCACTGTGCCAAATGCAAAAGAAAAGTACAGAAATATACAGTAGAAGGGAGTAAGAGTTGAAGAGAAGGGAAGTGAGAAAAAGGACATGTTCCCAAACCCATTTATGAATGTCTAAGGCCCCTTTCACACTGATGGTCCTATTGGGTTCGCCTGTCAGTTGTTCAGGCGGACCGGACCATTCATACACCTCTATGGACCGCCGGGTGTCAGCGGATACCACTGACACCCACCAGCATCTGATCTGATCCTGTTCACCAAAAACAGACGGATGAGGATGCGTTCTCCATCACTCCAGCGGATCGGATGACAGTTGAGTAGAAACTGACAGGCTTTCCATTTACATCCGAATGCCCCATAGGAAAAAGCAGGCTGTGTCTGTGTCCGTTCTGCAGCAGTGGAGCAGACACAGACCTGTTATCCGCTTGCTCAGTGGGGATCAGCGGTAAGATCCACTGGCGGATCTACCCCATCTAAAAAGTGCCTTAAAGTGTTACTAAACCCACAATAGTAAAATCAGTCTGTATATGCAGTAAAGCATGCATGACATACTCACTGTGGAACCTAAGGGGTTAATCCTCTGCATTGTGTAAAAATGATGTTTGATCCTGACTTCTCTGATCCTCCCCTTCTTCCAGTGCACCCCTCTTATCTCCTGATAAGACATATCCCGTGGAGACACTCTGCACATGCTCAGTTTGGTGTGTATTGCTAGAGAGGTTTTTTTTTTTTTAATTTTCTTGGAAGAGTGCATGTGATCAGCACAGGGCCAATCAGCACTGTCCAGACAGAGGTCAGGGGTTCTGCATCCTCCTAGAGCAGAAAGAAAACTCCTCCTACAATCTTTAATCAGAGCTCTGCTGAACACTGATAGAAGTCACAAAACTGCTCTAACTGCTGATGAGAAAATGTATTTAGTAGTTTATATTTACTAAAATGATTGCATTTCTATGTTGTGTGTACTGTGGGAGACCAGATAGAGTGAATGCAGGGTCCTGGGTTTAGTAAAAGTTTAAGAGTCGTTCAGTGAAGCAATCAAATACTCCATCCTCTTCACATCCAGAATCCTGGAATGCAGCTCAACCGGGGGGGGGGGGGGCTTCCGCTTCTTCCATTTAAGAGCAACCATGCACCACTCTGCTGTCAACAAGGATTCCTTCAATTTTGCTGCTAGCTGCCATTCCCCTCTTTTCCCTAGAGAAAGACTACCCATGAGGGCTGAATGGGGATTGAAATGAGTCTCCCATCAAATGTATTGGCCCTACTAGTCCATCTGGGTCCCCCTTGCAGCATTCTTCCCAGCTGACAATCTTTTTACCATAGTTTGCATTGCTGTTCTTCCTGTATTTGTTCAAGTTGGGTTGGGACAGTGTTACAAGGTAAGAAATATAGGAATGTAAAGAAAAATTATGTAAAAAATTTGTAAATGTTAGGACAGTTGATAATATGTTACTGCAGGGCTGCCCATGCCAGGTAATAGAGGATGGGGACTGTTTTAACCATTTCTTCACAATGAGGGCACTATTCTCTTTGCTTCCCCCAGCATTGTATGCCAGGGGTCACATTCCTCTGCACACTCCTGCAAAAAGAACACAACTTTAAGTTGTAGATTTTCAATAATTAAATTGTCGCCTCTGTTCATGTTCGTCTGTCTTGGGCAGGGATGGCCTTACAAGGGAAAATAAATAAATAAAATAACTGTAAAAATGGAAATAATGACAATAATAAAACAAAACACATGCCTGAAGTCTATATTTTGAATATTTTGGGGATACCAGAATGGGATGGCCAGTAAAATATTCCCATCACACCCGCTCCTGGAGATGGCTTATAAACAGGTAGGTGATGTAGCAGCTGCTGGTTGGGAGCCAGTATCAACACAAAGTTTAAGCATATATCAGCAGTACACCATGGGTCTCTAAAATAGCACACAAAAGTTTATTAACCCTTTTGCTGCCAGAGCTGTTTGTGCATTTTTTTTTTGCATACACATTTAAAAAATCGTTTTAAGCCAGAAGATTACACAAAACCCCAAAAATCATACATGTTCTGAAAGCAGACAACGAAGACAATATAATAGTGGTAGTTCCAGTTTTTATGTCACATGGTAGTACCACAAAGAAACTCACATTTTCAGTAAAAAAATAACACACTAAAGTTAATGCAATAAATTACCAAAATTTTAGGTAACATCTAAAAGATGAGGTTGCACCTAGTAAATCAATACCCAACATGTCAAAACTTAAATTTGTGTGCGCCCATGAAATGGCGACAAACTTCAGTACCCTATATTTTCTATAGGTGATGCTTCAAAAGCCTCTACAGGTCATCAGTATAGCATTACAGAGGAGGTCTTGGGCTGGCTCTCACTTCGGCGGATGCGGCAATATGTAACATGTACAGTATATCGTAATTGATGTTTTCACGAGTAGGCTCCCCTGGCATATGCATTTACATTCGTACGTGCGTATATATGTGGGGGCGGAGAGGGACCTAAATTTTTTTTTTTTTTTCGGGGGGGGGGGGGGGGGGGGGGGGGGGGGGGGGGGGGGTGGGGGATGTTATATGTTTGGGTTTAACTTTATTCTTTTGCAATAACATTTTTTTTTTTTTTTGCTTGAAGTGTTACTAAACCCAGGACCCTGTGTTCACTATATCTGGTCCCCCACAATACACAGAACATGGAAATGCAATTATTTTAGTAACTATAAACTGCTAAAAACCTTTTCTCGTCAGCAGTTAGAGCAGTCTTGTGACTTCTATCAGTGCCCAGCAGAGCACTGGTTACAGCTTGTAGAAAGAGTTTTTATGCTCCTGTAGGAGGACGTAGGACATCTTACCTCTGTCTGGAGAGTGCTGATTGGCCCTGTGCTGATCACATGCACTCTCCCAAGAAAAAAGAAACTCTAGCAATACACACAAAACTGAGCCTGTCTATTAGGAGATATTTAGGAGACACAGGAAGAAGGGGAGGATCAGAGAAGACAGGCCCAAACATCCTTTTTACACGATGCGGACGATTAACCCCTTAGGTTCCTCGGTGTGCATAACAAGCATGCTTTATTGCATATACAGTACATTCTGATTTTACTGTTGTGGGTTCAGTAACACTTTAACTTTCTCTTTTCATCACATACAGTAAGGGACACAGAGTCACCCTATGTGATAATTGTTAGGTGACAGGTTCTCTTTATTGAGACATGCGGGGTCTAAAAGACCCGGCATGTCTCCTATGGGCTCTACTGTATGTATTCCAATGCAGATCGCATTACAATACATTCCTCCTTGGCTGTTCTAGCAGGGGAAAGTAATAGGGATGACTTGGAAGTGGCGTCATATACATCGCTTTCCGGGTAACAGCAAGAAGTGGACGAGAGCAGTCCACTCCCGCTCTCCTCTCTCCTCTCCACCCACCGGCACTCGCATTACCAGGGGCTGTGGAAGCAATTGGGTGGCAGTGCAGCCACCTGGCTGCTTCCACCTGACAGGTGGAAGCAGTTTTATACACAATCCTGGTAGCTGCAGCCATTGGGTTCTGAGTAAAACCCCCGCTGTCAGGTCCATACGATGTATGGACCTGGCAGCGAAGGGATTAAAGCAATCACATTTAGCTATGAGGAAAAATTAGAGGAAGTGAATTAATTCTCTCTTGAGAAGAAGAGATTAAGGGGGATATGATCAACATGTATAAATATATTACATCAGTGGTTCATATAGTGAACTCGGTGTAGAGCTATTCACCCTGAGGTCATCACAGAAGACAAGGGGGCACTCTTTACGTCTGGAGGAAAAGAAATTTAATCTCCAAACATGGAAAGGTTTCTTCACAGTGAGAGCTGTGAAAATGTGAAATAAACTCCCTCGAGTTGGTTCTGGCCAGCTCAGTGGATTGCTTTAAAAAAGGCCTGGATTGTTTCCTAGATACACAGAATATAACTGGATACTAATATTTATAGGTAAAGTTGATCCAGGGAATATCCAATTGTCTCTGGGGGGATCAAAAACAAATTTTTTCCCCTGCAGGAGCAAATTGGATGATGCTTTGCTGGTTTTTTTTTTGCCTTCCTCTGGATCAACTGTGGGTATAGGATTATAACTTTTTTTTTTTTTATTGGTTGAACTGGATGGACTTTTTTCAACCATACTAACTATGTAACTATGCATAACAGCAAAAAATTGCAACATTGCATGTGATGCCTGACTAAGGTGTCCAGTATGGACAATGCAGTGTGGAACTGCAAGAAACAAAAGCTCACAAACTATACTTTTAAAATCATACTAAAGCTAAAAACATTTTTTACCTTAATGCACTCGTTGCAAAACACATTTTCTTTCTCTCTGCCCCCCCCCCCCCCCTTTCCTGTGTGAAGGGGAAGAGAGAGGAGAATAAATCCAGCACTGTGTACAGCTGCATCTCTTCTCCACTCTCTTCCTCTTTACACAGCACTCGAGCCACAGCAGGAGACATTGGCTCCTGCTGTTGTCAATCAAATGCAGTGAGGATGAAGTGGGGGTGGGGCTAAATCCCACTGCTCTACATAGAGTTTAGCAGATTTTTATCACGAATGTCTTTGTACATTTTTCCATTTATCCTTGCTTCAGTGAGAGGAAGTTTGCCAGTACCGTATCCTGAAAAACAGCCCACACCATGATGTTCCCACCTCCAAACTTCACTGTTGATATGGTGTTTTTGGGGTGAGGTGCAGTGCCATTTGACCTCCAAACATGTTGTGTATTATGGCATCCTAAGAGTTCACTTTGTGCCTCCATAGCAAATGGCTTACTATGGGGACACACAAAGAAGAAGAGGAGCCAATATCGCTGGCGGGGGACCCAAGAAGAGGAGGATCAGGGCCGCTCTGTGCAATACCACTGCACAGAGCAGGTGAGTATTAACATGTTTATTATTTTAATTTTAAAAAATTGTTTACTCTAGTAACACTTTAAACTGCTTTGGCACTGGACAGTCTGTACAAAGAGTGGTTAGTTCAGGCTCACAATGAGAGACTGAGCCAGCCATTAGTTAGGCATCTGGGTAGATCACGACAATATTGTTGGAATCCCTGCAGAGCCTGGATCTGTTCTGTCAGCAGGGTTGCCAATTGTTTGTAGATTTACGGACAGACCGTACATTTTTAACCATTTACTGGCTGTCCATAAATGTCCGTTTGTGGACAGCAAGGGATTTATTTACTAAAGCTGGAGAGTCCAAAATCAGACTCCCTTCTGCATAGAAACCGCAGTTATGAAAGGGTTACAGAGGATTACAGGCAGTATAACCTTTGATGTCCACACAGTAAAGAGTCGATGATTGATAACCGATGATCTTTTACTGATAACATGTGATCATATAATGAAATGTGCGTGAATGTAAATGCGCGAATGAATGTGGTAAAACTGAAATACAAACAGAATAAACAGACATGAGTACATATCTAACTACCTAGCTATATACATAACATTCCTCAGTACATAGGAGGGGTACTTACAGACTTTGGGGGTCTAATCAAGCCCATATATGAAGAGGGAACAGCATCCCACATGTACTTGCATTGTAGAATTTCTTCAGTCTGAAGAGATGAGGTCACTTCCTCCCAAGTTAGCAAACAGGAAGTCCCTAGCCTTAAAGGGACAGACACTGCTGAATGCTAAAGAATGCCTTGTGTAATACAAGGCAGCACACTCCCCACCTGGCATAATAATGATATGCCACTATTAAACTCTTGGAAGGAGTAAAACGACTTCCGTGATGGG